ATACGCGAGCACTAGACGAGATTGGTGACGGAACAGCAGTTAAGTGCCGGAATGCGCGTGGGAGATTGGTGACGGAAGTAATCCTCGGAAGATCAGGAAACGTAACCGAGAGCCTATTCCTAGTAGGAATAGGAATAGTGGATATGGGCCCGAGGCATGGTCCTACAAGGAGTAGGAATGATGTGCACATGCGAGGCAGACGGACGAAGCCTAGTCCACGCGGGACTAGGCGAGGCATGGGCGTGCACGTGCGAGGCAGGCAAGGCGCGCGATGCCTCGCGCGCCAAGGAATAGGATAGCCGAGGGCGGTGTGAGTGAGGCGGCGTGCGTGAGAGACATGAGGCGCAAGACTTGGAGCTTCTAGAATTGTTTGGAGTGCAAGTCAAGTAATTAAGAGATCTAGTAGATTTAGGAATTTATGGTAGTAGGATATTTACTAGCCTTAGGATTTAATATTTAATTGTTTTATTAGTTTCCTAGTAAGATTAGCATTAGAGATAGTTGGTATCTATAAATACCCCATGTACCTCATCATATTTTACATGTTGAATTGAGTATTGAATTGGTGAGCCAATTTTGAGGGGGAACCTTGTGTTCTTAACGTGTGATAAAGAAGGCCATTAGTGCGTCTTTACATACAGTGTCGGAGAGAAGGCCGTTAGTGCGTCTTGAAGTCACGGTGTCTAGGAGAAGGCCGCAGTGCGTCTGCTAGATACATCTATCGGGGATAAACGAAGGCCTCAGTGCGTCGTTTATTCGCAACCCAGTATAGACAAAAGATCGATCCGTCATCACACAGGCGCACTGGGGCGCGGTGCAGCGGTGATGAAGATCGTGTGTTTCGACTGCCGATAAGCCACAAACCAGTGCCTTGAATCGCCGATAGTGCCTAGAGGTTCACAAACCGCACCCCTATAAACGATATAATTGCTATAGAATTTTGGTGAAAATACTAAAGCAAAGAAGATGAACAAAAGTTCTTGAGTTCTTATTAATTCTTCAATGATTGAATGATAACATGGGGGAAGGGCCTTTATATAGGCACAAGATTTGTCTAAGTCTAATCTACCTAGGAAAATAATAAAGCAATAAAATATTAAGTATCCTAACCAATCTAGATATTGTAATGCAATAAGGAAACCAAATAGCTATGGGATCTAATGCCTTGGCTTGCACTCCAAGTAGTCTTGTCTTGCACTCCAAGTAGAAGACTCCTAGCCTTCTCTCTCTCTCTTTCACGCCACCTAGGGCTTCTCCACCGCCTCACGCCTCCTTGCCTTAGTCCTCGAGGACTAAGGTTGTGTCTCCTACGTCCGCCTATCCACTTGCCTCGAGGAGTAAGGTCTTGCGCCTTGTGTACGCTATTCCTATTCCTTGAAGGATCAGACTTTGAGCTCATAACCACCTTGCCTATTCCTACTAGGAATAGGCTCCCGGCTACGTTACCTGATCTTCCGAGGAATACTCTCGTCTCTGATCCTTCACGCGCGTTTCGGCACTCAACTGCTTTTCCTAGTCCTGCGGGGTCTAGAATTCGTGCCATGCCTATTCCTATGAGGACTAGGCTTGCTGCCTTGGCCTTGCCTTGCCCTTCGGGTGCGCACGCAATCGCACCCTTCGCCAGCGTGACTATCTCGTGCGTGTCGCCCAGCTTGCCTAAGCCTACTAGGCCTAGGTCTTCGCCCATCCCACATGCGTCGCCAACTGCGCACGCGGCTCGCCCATGCGCCGTTGTTCCTAAGCTTCGCGCGCATGCGCACCACTCGCGCCCCATCGCGCGCCCGCCCATCTGGTTACCCAGCTTCCGCGCGTCATTGGTAACCGCGCGGCTGCTGCCCACGCTGGATAA